GCGTATAAATAACTTTTGTGGACAACTAGTGAGGCATTGATGTGTTGTTGCGTTTCGTCTCATGCCCTGGAATCCAGATTTACCGTGGGCCTGGCCAGTTCTAGGCGGCGCGCTAACAACAACAGCCCCCGTAACAGTATCCAGCCGGCCAGGGAGTTTAACGGCCACAAATAGGGGGATTATTAATCTGGTAACCACGGCCAATGATGACGTTCTTCTGCATATACAGTTGTGTTTGTGCTATGTCGGGCATAATGCCTACAGTATAGTATCCAGGCATTTCCTCTTGACAAAATGCGTAACGCTGCAACATGGTTACATTGCAAAATCTTCCAGCAAATTTTGCTGATGCGCATGTTTATCAATTATGCAATATTCCATTGATAATGAAATGATGATGAGGACGATAAGCTGGTTAAAATCTAGTTAAAATGTAGGAGGTCTTCTAAAGGATTCCAGAGGGTTCCAGACCCAACAGTTCTGACAGTGGGGGCGATTTGCTACTCTCCAAGCAGACGTTTTGGCTTCAGCTAAATTTGACGTGTTTCAGGCGTTTTTATTGGTCTTTCTTTTTTGTACCGGACTTATGTACTTTGTGCTGGCGTAAAAAGTATTAGCACTAAAAAGAAATCCCCATAAAAATGCCTAAAACACGCCAAAGATAAGCCTAAGCCCTAACCTCTGCTTGGAGAGTAGCAATTTGGCGCCCCATTTCTTTTGTATTGGTGCCACAACTCAGCCTTACCGCGCAATAACCCGGCAGCTGGGGGTTCACACTCCGTGACTTCAAGACGGGATCTCTGCTGGTTATTAAAGAGGCGAGCGCTTTAAATCCGTTTCCTTATCTCCAATATACGGCACTTCAAGCCGTCGGGAGCCGGCTTTTGATATATGGTACATTCAAGCAGTACAGTGTTCGTTTGAACGCTTGGTTGTGTTCGTACTCCTACGCTCGCAAATATTCTTTTATGATAAAAACAGGCGCCTCTTTGTCGTATTGTTTGTGCACCATATACTATCAAAGGAAGGACAGGTTTCTGTTGTTTGCATGTTCGATTTCTGTGTGTGGCTATCGTCTTTTCAGACACTGATACCTGTGTCCATTTTTCACTGTCATATATATTCGCTTACTGAAACTACTCCTGCACATATACGTATGTCTGCGATAGTCAATGGAATATCAAAAGGCAAGACGCTTTGCCTTTAAGGGCCCCGTCACAAATATTCTACGATCGTCACACGATTGGCAGTCTAAACTCTTGAAATGTTAATTTGTCTTGGGTGCTTGCATCCAGAGTTATCAACCAAGGATTGAGGTGTTCCAAAATTACTCTTTCCTAGAACTATCGCAGAATGGAACTCGCTGTCACCAAGTACAGTAGGGGCATTATCATTAGATGGCTTTAAACAACGTTTAGAGTTGGATTTTCAAAGGTCAGGTGTGACAAGTTGTTCGGAGTAATGTAGACAGCTGCCGCCGCGCCGCGTGCCTGCGAAGCTGGTGTGCTATTTATACCGCTATACAGATACAGATACAGATTGGCAGTGGTTGGTTCTATCACAGCCTGCTTGAAAATCCTACGACATCAAAATCTTACGACGACCTACAACGAATGCGACCTAGTCGTTAGCTTATTACGACTGTGCACAACATGTATAGTAGATCTGTGCCTCTGTGCTGTCCGTTAATTCTCTACACACGGATCTGAGTTACGGTTATTTGTCGCACACCAGATTGAATATCCCCCGGTAGCAGAAACAATCAGGAAACATCATCAGAGAGCCTCGATTATAGTCAACTCGTTTTTCTCAATCAACAAGGCTAAATGGGAAATCACCTCCGTACATAAAAGTGACTAGTAGTACTTTGCCATGTATTGAGATGTAAGTCAGCACTTTTGGATATCATAGCAAGTTAAACAAAATAGTGTAAGATTCACCCGCTTGTTTGTTTGTTTGTTTGTTTATGTTAGTCATTGTTTTTGGGTGGTTCAGCTTTGGGGTTTGTGTATCTGTTTGTCCATATATTTTATTTACTTCTGTTTGTCCATGTATTTCATTTACTTTTTTTTTTAATTTCTTTTACCAGTAACTACAACTCAGGCCATATTGGCCTGCTTTTCAGGTCATCCTGCATATACATATAAATACTCACAACAAATACACAGTACATAAAACAATTATTAAATACAACATCCGGAAAATCAACTAGATCAAGTTCTGTTCCTAATGATCTGTTTAAAAGCCCTGAGTTGTCATTGCTTTAGTGGAAGTCTGTTCCAGAGGTAAGGTCCATAGTACGTGTCCATACGAAGTAGGTTGACAGCACGTGGGTGGGAGGTAGAATGATAGGAGGCCAAACGTCTCAGAATCTGGCCGGGAGCCAGCAGGAATTACAAGTCGACATGGGGGAATTCAGAAAGAAAAGGATTGTATACTTCCTAAAAGAAATTAATTATGAAGCACATTTTACATTTTTACTATATGCCATGTCATGGCCAATTAGATACGTACACAGGTCCCAAAAGGTTGAAATAACAAACGAAACTCAAACATGATTCAATCAGAAAGAACAGCGGGATTACTGAATAGTTAGATATCGTAGAGGCTAATATTTTCTAGGTCGCTTCCTTTGCTTATCAGTATAGCCTAATGTAATTTCATCAGTAGGCTGCCTAAGATTATATTAATGGAAAATTGACCGGAAGGATCCTTTCTTCGAGTAACTGGAACGGGAGAGTTTTGTAATTATGTTACCAGCGCGGACGTATATGTATGTTGGATGTGTCCTTCGAAAGGGACGTCATCGTATCCAGAACCGTGCTTATCTAGTTCTGTGCCTGAGATGGGTTATGATTTGCATCAAGCATGATTTTGAATAGTCTCCGCGAATCAAAGAACGTAGATTTGCCACAAGGCACGGTTCTGGATACGTGTGGGCTATTTAAAACCGAGCCTGAGCACGGTTCTGGATAAAGCTCGGATCTAGATAGAGAGCGGTTCTGGATAGAGCACCGTCCTGGATAAAGCTCGGATCTGGATAGAGAACGGTTCTGGATAAAGTACGGTTCTGGATAAAGCACGGTTCGGAATAAAGCACGGTTCGGAATAAAGCACGGTTCGGGATGCAACAGGTCCCCGTAGACGGGGGAGCCTCAGACGTCCTAAACTCACCGCTCAGACACCCAAAACAATTCTTACGTAGCAGGAAGCAGAAAGTAAAAATAAGTTACTCTCACCATCCCCCTTCCTTCTGGCCGTCCTTGCCCTTACAGTCTGAAGAAGCAATAATGCCGTATGATCCTCTACTAAAGGATCGGGTAAATTTGTCATTCACTCTACAGTGTATTTATACTCTAACTCATGCGGAACCATCCAAACTCCGGATATACGTAGTCACCAACAACCTACCAACTGTCGCACTCTTTTGGAAATAAAAAAATTGCATGACTTGGTTCAGGACTTGTGAACAGGAGAAATGTATAAGCCTGTAATGTAGTAGTGTATAACTAGTAAAAAAAATAGCTGAAAAACTAAGGCAATTCCCCTCAGTGGGAATTGTGATGTCTGTACAGTCCAAAGAGTATTTCTCCTTCCAATAATGTCTTTAGCACAATCATAAAGGTTTGCAACTGGTCAATAACAAAGACACTAACCAAATCTTAGCTACTGTGAAATCTAAAGTATTTTGTGTGATATAATATCGTGATATGGTGTTTTGAACTTTCCTAGCATGTTTTGGCAGATGGTCACGGAAAGAGCGTTGTTTGGTTAGTGAAGAAGAAGGTAAGTATATGTAAATAACAGGTAGTCAACCAATTCCAATGTTTTCATGGTCTACCATGCGTTTATGCAAATAAGCTTTACACACCATTGAAAACAACCTAATATCAATACCTATATATAACCTAATAACACATGCTATATACTTTTGAACAGCTACCAAAAGTTAGCCTGGTTGCCAAACCTACTATAGCTCCCGAGTCCTACATCCTTTCCGCAAATAACTCGGGAGCTATAGTAGGTTTGGCAACCAGGCTAACGAAAAGTATGTTTTATCGAACATCACAAAATTATTTTAGATACGAAAATATTATCATTGGATTCTCTATTAAATGTGTGAAAAGTGACGCACAAAAACAAAATTGCCCACTTCTGTTTAGATGACCTTCTTGTACGTGGATAATTAATGACCTGTTGTTTCCTAAACCGCTTCTGCATGATTTATTGTTAAGTATACAAACGGTGTAATTGCGCGTAAGGTTTAGATTACCCCCCGATGCACTTTGATTAAGGGTCTCTGTACACATTACACGCATAAAACAACTTGTAGTCCGGCAACTTGGCAGGATGCCACGCTCCCGGGAGCTAGAGAGTGAGTGAGTGGGTGAGTGAGTGAGTGAGTGAGTGAGTGAGTGAGTGAGTGAGTGAGTGAGTGAGTGAGTGAGTGAGCGCCAGAGCAAAATTGTCCAAATATGTTTAAAACAATTTGGCACACATGAAGTTAAATGTGTACTAAGCAAATCTGGATATGGATTCAATTTCTACCCAGATGCGCTACATTATCAGCTTGTTAGAGTAGGTCACCACTGTGTTCTGTATTTTTCATGGTGTGCAAAATAAAATAACTTTTACAAAATTCAAATACTTTCAAACCGAACAACGTGTGATTGAACTCTCCCAGTGTGTGTGTGTGCCAACGGTCAAGGACGGCAAATGAACTTTACACAAACACAGCAGTCATACCTCCTGCTAGGGGACCAATCAGAAATGGTTATGAGGAGGGAGAGAAGGGACAAAACGATCAAGGGATGCGCAAAACAACAATTGCACAGCGTACGTAAATGATGCATACACGCATAGCCACACTGAAGAAAGAATTTGTGCCGTTAATTTTCCCACAATGCACCTCCACCATTTTACCTCCTGGCCGGTCCCGTAAGACAGAGCAAACAACCTAGGGGGCAAACTATTTTATTATCGACAATTGTGTACGTGAGTGGGCATGCAGGAGGAAGTACTGCAGCGCTGCCGTGGCTTGAGTTCTGGAAAGTCGATAGCTGCTTTCCGATTCTAATTTGATCTCTGAGCGAAGGGACAACTGAAAGGCAGAAGTAGAGAATTGGAAATCCACTGACCAGGTAAGAACTGCCGTTTGCCTCCAAATCTTTTCTTGCGCACAACATATAAACAGTTGTACTGTTCTGAGTTACTGATTTGCTAAGTCATGGTAGTTTGCTTTACTAAGAAAAGTTGGAATAGAAGGAAACACAGACGTAACTGTCAATCGGCAAACTGTAACGTAATTTGTATGAAAATGACAAACGTCAGACATTCTATCTAGTTTCAAATAGACAACTGACATACAGCGGTTACTTTAGAAACTTTGCACCCCATTTCAAAACCCCAACCGATATTCTAACGTGATTTCTGTAGAAAAACCACGACAACACGATAAAGGTTTCAGCCGTATTAGGACGTTTTAAGATTTTTGTTTACTATCAGAACAAATCACAACTTTAATATCACCATATTTTCTAGCTGTATAATACATGTATTGCAGTTTACAAATGCTCTTCGGTGGAGCAGTATAAAAAGTAGCTAGTTACGTAAGAGGCGATTATATTCTCCGCCTTTCTCCACGACAAAAGAACACGACTAAAGTACCGTTATTTGTTTCGTTTATCCGCTCATCATTTTCCCGTGACAAAGTAAGACTAATAACTCTGCCGTTAACGTAACCTGTTTGATCTGAGCGGCCTGAGAGAAGAGGTTAGATTTGCAGGGCAGGTCGAGACGTGTACAGATCCGCCGTTAGCAGATGTGTTGTGTCGATAAGGGGGTTAATGGTTTCCTGAAGGACGAGGTCGTACATAACTTATGTACACAGCAATGGCGGCACCTGTTTACTGTAGGGTTGGCATGCCCGTAGCCAGGATTTTCATGGAGGGGTTCTTTCCACTGTCTGATGGACCAGCGAGCGCCGTAGGTGCGAGCTCGAGTTTTCTAGAGGGGTCGGGCGGCATTGAACCTTTTGCAATGACATTTCCTGCGTTTTTGAGAGGATTTCAATAGAAAAATCAGAGATAACTGTTTATTCAATGACAAAGTGAGCAGTTTTCTAGGTTGGGGAGGGGGCGTGTGAAATACCTTGTCAACAATCCCAGGGCAAATTTGCTCAACTAGCATTAGGAGACCGTTGTGTTGTTCTGTTGTGAGTGGCTAAATAGGCAAATTAGCTAGCGAAAATGAAAAGTAGGAAGTCGTTAGGGCTATTGACTTCAGAAATTAAGTACCAATACGTTTATACCACTCGCTGTCTTTGTTGAATGAAGGCCAGTGTGCCATGTGTAGATGGTCTACTTGATTCCTCTCACGAAGTTGCCCTTTTCAGTCTAAAAGTCGACTCGCTTTTTGTTGAACAAACTTTTGACTCTGCAATATATCAAGCATCACTTAAGCTACCAGCATACCAATTATCACGACGATTTGTCATCCTCTTCTTGAGTCATCTTCTTTCAAAGATTAAAAAATCGTCCTTGCAGTTCCAGAAAAGGCTGCTAGGGGACCAAACTTCTCCCTAAAAGTTTTCTACCACCTAAAACTTCCGACCAAAATATGTCCAGATCACGAGACATCAAAGCTGTACGTTCACCTGCAATACCATGGAAAGCCACCAGGGGTTCCAAAATTTAATCATTTCAAGCCTTGGTCACATCCCATCAACATACAAAATAGCATTAAGATCCATGCACGGCTTCTACAGTTAGGTAATACACTGATTCCACAGCTCCAGGCCTCAGCAGTAGCGTAGCCCGGCCTGACGACACACACCTGGCAGTAATGGATCCCCTGAAGACGGATGACTTCCAACGATTTATTACTGATTAAATTTTCCAGTCTTGCTTATCGAGGTGGGCGATCTTGCGACACCCGGAGCCCTGTTTCGTCAGGCGGGTACAGGCAGACAAAGACACATGTCGTGATGGATGCCTTTTCAGCAATTTCAGGGTTATAGGGGTAGCATTGATATTAATATTTCACCAGGGAATTTATCATAGGAATAGCACTATGATATTTCATCTACGTCGATCAATTTTGAAATATTTCCGTCTCTCCTACTCTGTGTGTTCCAGTGTGTCAAAATCAAACAATACGAGAAAGAAACTTAAGCTACTGTAACAGTTTAGACAGATGCCCGTGAGGCTTTTATACGAAAGGATTACATATTTCAAGTCTAAAGAGACGACACTACGGTCAAGTTTGAAATATTGCCGTCTCCCCTACTTTGTGTGTTCCAGTGTGTCAAAATCAAACAATACGAGAAAGAAACCTAAGCTACTGTAACAGTATAGACGGATGCTCGAGAGGCTTTTATACGAAAGGATTACATATTTCAATTCTGAAGAGACGACATTACGGTCGATTTTGAAATATTGCCGTTTCTCCTACTCTGTATGTTCCAGAATGCGATATCTGTGTAAGATCAAATAATACACGACAGAGACTTATCTAGTGTAACAGTATAGACGAGTGCACATCACTGTTATTACAAAAAGATAATAAATTTCAATTCTGAAGAAGACGACACTACGATATGCATGGTGAATTATACAAAGTTGATTGATGTACACTGAGAATTCCTTTTTTGATTTCCGGCTTGTGTGCCCAGAAGCTGTTTATAGCTCTATACGGTGAAAGATAAGACGGAGGCAATTTCTTAGTGGTCCCAAAGCGTCTTTGCACACAACCGATCGTTTACAAATACTTAGAAAACGTGGGTTTGAATTTCCAGGAAAAAGCTTTTTGGTGATGAGTCTGGTATGAGAGGAATGGTACGAGTAGATGGTTTAGGAGCATGAGCTAATAATTCTGCTAGAGCATTGCATTAGCTTGATTGGGACATGTAACCGGTTCGGTTCTGTTGCCAAGAATATAACCTATCCAAATACTCGTATTACCTATCATTATATCCTCATTTCCCTGAAGACCCCTACGAAAACTTGTTGCCACAGACATCGCTACTCCATTTCAGGCAAAACTCCAGAGACTGTACTTCACTGTTCATGTGGATGACAAGCAGCCATAGTGAGTTTTTAGGGATCTATACTTTCTAATTACACCAGGCTTTCCTTGTCTATTCACCACTGCATGGGTCTTACTTTGATATTACACGGAATCATGCTCTTGAGGTTCACCTAGAAGCTTTCCTTTCAGCTCCGGTGGCAGGTGTCTGGAAACGGATCTATGCAGACATTCCGGGTTTTAGCGTTTCATTTGACTTCTGAAGTTCAAAGAACGCAGTGAAAGGGAAGGTAATCCACGCTGAGTCCCGACTGAGTAGCTCTGTGTGGGCAGGAGTACAATAGTTCATAGCTGTGCTACATCGAGTTACTCCGCTCACATGTAACACTGTCAGTATCATTCGGCGTCTACAGTTTTATAAACTGGAAAGGAGTGGCCTTAACCAATGCGAAGTGACCTTAAAATGCTTACAACGGCTTCAATTCTAGTCACATTTTAAAAAAACCGCTGAAAAGAGTGAATAAATTATTTTCTTTTGTAATAGTATCATTAATTTACTCATGGTAGCTTTTAGTTGTTTTAGTTAGTGTTATTTTATGTATGATTTATTTTGTACTTTATATTTCTACTTTATAGCTTGTAGTTGAGCATATGAAGTCTCTATATTTTTGTTGCGTCAAAAAAAGCGCTTTCTCATTCTTCTCTCGTAATCTTCAAGAGTCGACTTGTGTCAGGTATTTTGTCAGGTATAACTAGGTATACGGAGTTCAATACACGAGTTTCCCTATCCCAGATTATGTCGTTGATCCCATTGCTTATCCGGCCCCACTCCATCCGTCAACATGTCAGGATCCTGTCAGCGGAGGGGTTTTCTGCCTGATTGCTTCTAACAAAGACTGGATCGGAGGGCGATCGGCAGCCCAATTGGTCAGGATACAAATCTCATCAGGAAGACTCTCGGTCTAATCTTCTCATCCGTCAAGATCAGGTGATAATCTTGTGGACGACCACATGGCAGAAAAATTGTCATGAATCCGTAATATTCACCTAGTATTGCAACCTTACAATGATAGAACGACTTTGTACTTATGTATGCATCAGCATTATTACTAAATTAAGTACATGCTTGTAATTTTGTGGATGACATGGCCTAGATAAAGGGTCATAAATTCATTAGGTTCATAGAAACAATATTGAGGGAATATTGCAGCCTTCCTATGTTAGAAGTGTCTTTGTACCCATGCATCAACATGACTTGTATTAGTAATGATTGGTGAACATGTTTGCAATCTTGTGGATGACATGGCCGAAAAATGGTCATAAATCTGATATTCAGAGAATATTGCCCAGATGGACAGGCCAAGAAAGTCATGGCCTTATGTCTCGCAAGAGATGAAGATGATAAATAAAGTAATAGAATGCTGTAAGTGTCTCTGTACCTATTCATGCATTATCATGTATTAGTGGTGACTGGTGTAAATGTTTGCAATCTTATGGATCACATGGTCATAAAATGTTCATACATTCATAATATTTATAGAATATTGCAACTGTCCTAATCCTATGTTAAAATTGTCCCCATGCCTATCCATGCACCAACATGTATTAGTGGTTCCTCAAATATTTCTAATTTGCAGAGCTTGAAAGGGGGCGTATGTATTTGTCAACCAGCTGTAATACCAGCTTTAACGTAATGATCAAACTACTAATAGAGCTATCTATATGCAACAAAAAAGAGATAGCTGTAAAGAAGACAAATCAATTTATTGCTGTGTCATCAGAGTTGTGTAAAACCTAATCGTCCCTCTGTTTATTTGATTACCCTAGCGGATGTGAAAACAGGACTTCGGTCGCCTCAAACGAGATTTACACAACAGATCACCGACGTTGGTATCATGACCCTTTCAAAGATAAACAGATCAAGCCGGTCGGGACGAAACCCGCACGAGCACTTCTGTGTTTTGTATTGATCCACGTAATCTCATATCCTGTGTTTCTACTTTTCCAGATGCGACCATTGACTCCAGCGACCCGCATCTGAAAGTGTTTGCAGATGTAGTGGGACTAAAAACAACCGTCGGGGAGGGAACAAGTTGCTTGAGCAAACAGTGGCAGTTACACATGCTAACCCGTGTGTCAGGCGGGGAGAGATACGATTGGTGGAGCAAATAAACCTGTGTGGTGGCTTACGTAATATCGGCCAGTATCGGCCTTCACGCAGCGGCCATTTTTAACAACAGAACGGAGGGTCTGTCGACAGAGTCGGAACACTCGAGGGAAGAGTCAGAGCAGACTACGCCAGGTACGCTGTCTTCGACATCCGCAAATGCGATCACAAACTGTCTGCTCTGTAACAAGGTTGAGAAAGGTGACAAGACGTATCCTGTGTTGCCGTTGAGTGTTGTTGAACTATATATAACCAACCCAACGTTACTACAACACCATAACACCGCGGGGAATCCAGTCGCCAACCAACTAAAGACTGCCTCCGCCGTTAACAGGTGTTCGGGGCAACGGGTGCAGGAGAAAACCCGCCAGGGAAAGCACATGTCACCGTGACCCAGGACTTAATCCGTGGGTACGTGCTGTTTTTAAGACGACTTGTAACCGGGCGAAGGTTGTCAGCGAATGAGGGTCAAGGTTTGAAGACTCCTTGCATCCTTGAGATGAGACGTTTCGCTGCACTTTCTCGGCCCAGAAGACGTAACAGCGGCCTGGCGAGGTGACATCCGCCGGGTATTTTTATGCCGTTATCGAAGAAAAGCCGGAAACCTGACTCATACTTTGACGTAAGCTGCCCGATAAAGGTACATCAAGTGGTACAAGAGTTATACAAGATAAGTTGACACCGAAACAGCGTACAATTGGCTCAAGATCACCAGACGATTGACTACAAGGACTACTCGATTGTGTTGAGTGAAGGTAATGCAGTTGTCAGACTCTATGAACGAACAACTAGTCATTGTATAAAGTGTGTGTATTCAATGTCTGACGGCGTTTACAATGCCGGAACTTCCGTGGCGATGACTGCGCTGTTGTTGGCAGCTACCTGAATCATGTGAAATGTCTTAACGGTTAAGAAGACCATCTTTGCTACAGAACTGCGCGGCTGAACAACAAGACGATCTCTTATCCTTATCATCGCCCAAAAAGTCGTTTGGCACAACGTTTTTGTTTTTAAACTGAAGCCAACCAGACGTTCTGGACAGGTTTATAGCGCAGTAAGTCTTCCAACTGTTGTTAAATGTTGACTGAACTGCTATGTATGGGCATAGAGTCTATAAACCGTGGTATTAAGTTCTATACAAGACTATAAAGACCTATTAAGCCGAGGCAACATGGCGGCTCCTCGTACCAGCGTCTCCACGTACGGTAGGGTCAACAGGGACTTTGTATCTCGGTGGATGTTGCTGCTAAGTTTGGCGGGTTGTTTGCTAATGGCGTGTGTACATAGTTCTCACGTCAGAAGGGGGAGGGAGTTCTACTCGCAGCCGGGTGACGTGACGTTGGGCGGTTTGTTGTCGGTACACGTCAATGGCGGGAACGGCGCCTTCTGCAGCCTGCTGGAGGTGTCCGGCGCCATACAGCGCATGCTCAGCATGGCATACGCTGTGAACGAGGTCAACCGCAGGGAAGATCTCCTTCCCAACGTCACGTTGGGGTTCGCCATATACGATGACTGTTCCACAGAAACCATGGCGCTGGTAGAGACCCTAAACTTTATCTCCACCCAAGGACTGGACAATAGATGCACGGGGGCACAGTATCCAAACCTCATAGGAGTCGTCGGGGCAGAAACAGCGGGTCTACCAGAATGGCGGCAGAGCTACTCGGACTGTTCCATCTGCCCATCATCAGCCATTTTGCCACCAGTGACGTTCTTAACGACATGTCTTTGTTCCCGACGTTCTTTCGAACTGTGCCACCAGACAGACTACAAGCTAAAGCTATTATAGACATCTTAGTTTACTTCGGCTGGACTTACGTGTCGCTTGTGTACTCGGACGACACGAGTTACGGGATAGAGGGAATGAGAAAGCTGCAGAAGGAGGCGGAGGACGCGGACGTGCTGATCTGTTTCGCGGAGATCATCAGCGTCACGGCGCAGGGCACGGACTACGACGACGTCATCCGGCAGCTGCGCAGGGACAGGGACGTCAAGGTCGTCGTCATGTTCAGCAACTTCTTCGACGCAAACCAGGTGAGAAATCATCATGTGTTTATTCTAAACAAACAAACAAATATAACATGGAAGGAGGGTAAACTAACTGGTGACTGAGTTAAAATTTTACACTAGAAACAGCAGTTAGCCACTGTCACTGCTTGGCCAATAGTTATTGCCTAGCTACCGTAGGATCTGCTTGGAGATTACTACATTGTATAATTTGTGTTTTATATAACTCCCAATAAACGTTACTCCTTTGCGCATGACATGACAATGTGTTTTTATATGAGTCTCTTACACATTGTGTTTATTCCAGGTGTTTGCAGCGGCTAAGCGGAACAACGCCACAGAGGAGTTTGTGTGGGTGGGTAGTGACGGGTGGGGGGTGAGTGTGGAGGAGATTAAAGGCCAGGAGGACGCTGCGCTAGGCGCGCTGACTGTGGTACCCTACTCCTGCCCTGTAGAACGGTTCGCCAACTATCTCCAGACCCTCACGGTGGACTCTGAGCCCAACAACCCGTGGCTTGACGAGATCCTGAGTAACATGTCCTTCAGCGTCGTGCATAACGACAACGTCGTCTCACCCGTCTTCAACGCCGTCAACATGTTCGCGCATGCGCTGGACGACATGCTTCGCGCCGGATGTCCGGATGTTTCAACCGGATGCAACGTCACAGGCGGAGTGAGTTGCGACTTCTTAAAGACACTAACGGAACACATCCGGAATGTGAGCTTTGTTGGGGAGTGCGGGTTTGAGTTGAGGTTTCACCAAGGAGAGGTGGTCGGGCGCTACGCGCTGCAGAACTTACAGAGAAGACCGGACGGGAGTTATGAGTACGTGCGCGTCGGGATGTGGGATATAGACGACGACGACGTTTCGGTCAACAGAAGTCTGATCTACTGGAACCTAAAGGACGAAAGGTATTCATTTTTGCCAAATCACCACCTTACACATTTTTCAAATTTCTTCAAAGATTCCATATATTGCTTATGACAAAATTTATGTATTCAAAATGTATGCAAATTGACGACTGTTGCAAGAGTTTTGAAGAAAAAAACAGAAGTTTGATCTATTGGAACCTGAAGGACGAAAGGTACTCATTTTTCCTAAATTTGCTATTTGGATGAAATTTCATGTTTGGCGATGGTTTCTTTAGCGGTTACACTAGGCTAAAAGCAGTTGGTCTTACAAATTTATTAAATACCATATTACTAATGCCTTTAGAACATACACATATTAACAATCGCTGTAAACGTTTAGGAAAAGCATGAACTCTGATATTCACTAACTGCAGTCATTTTTATGCCATGAATGGACTTTGCTTTCTTGCTGTATTTTTTGTTGATACATTGTATATTTACTTGAAAAGCATTTCCATTGGCACATTTCATGCATTCATTTCATCGCAAAACCTGTCGCTTTTTTCGTCTTTGTTTTTTCCTCTGACAGGTATAATTGGACGGGCTACAGCGAAGAAGACACCACAGAAATGTACTTATTTTTCCACTCCATCTCTTATTTTATCAAACCTTCTAATCTTTAAAAACTGTACTACATGATCCTAGCGGCAATGCAAAATGGACTCTTTCCACATTGAGAAAAACTTAACCTTTGTTTACATTGTACATCCAAAAGTGAAAATGGCTCACACCGGTCAGAGGCGTCGCCAAAAACAATCATACACTATCTTGTACTGCAGTGCCATGCTTGACCTATCTTGAATAGTGCCACATTGCTCAGACATGTACTAAAGTAAAAAAAAAAGAGTCAAGAATGGCATTCAATACTCTGAAAGCACATAGAGCGACAAAAACATCTTAGGTTAAGAACATGCATTTTACAGAAAAAACACAAACACACTCCAAAATTTACCAGTGGTCCACTACGCAACATTTTAATAGTGGCCTGTCCGCACTAGGATCATGTATTGTGCCTTCAATGCTTTCCATAACTTTGCTTCATCAATACTGCTCAATGCAATATGTTGATTACTTCATCATTCTAAGTTCAAACCTAATTAATGGTTATCATCTATTGATTTCAGCTAATTTGATAATCCCGTTTCAGTGATTGTATCGTGTCCAACTGGTGATCGAGATTGGCATTACAACTGATTAGAAAATCAAAGTTTTAATGATATTGATATTTAGAATTAAGCAATAGAAATAATAAACGTGATTGATCAAAAACCAAAATGGTAACTAATAGTCCGTTGAGTGCCAAACAAAGTAACGTGTAATGTGAATAGCCATAATAGTTGGTGCGTTTTATTAAGTAGTTGTCAAGGCCAACATTCAACAACTATGTTTGCTTAGTATTGGCCCTGGGTTTAAGCATATTTGCTGAACACGCACAGAGTCTATCGACAATAGAATCCAGAAGGAAATATTCTCATCCAGTCAGGATGGCGTTTGAGTGCTGCTACTGGCAACATTCCAGCGAAAAAAGAATAATGGAGGTTTGATGCAGTAAGGCTGCCAAATTTCAGACGTTTATCTACAAATTGCACACTTTAGATTGATTGAATGCATTTGGCAGGCGGAATACTGTTTTGAGACATCTGGCGATAGTCCAGTGCTGTAAAGGTTATACTGATAAATCAGTATGTTGAGTTAATTTGATGTGTCGTTCACACTACTGGTTCTAAACATTCACTGATTGATGCATTTGCTTAATTGTATTGCTTGTACCCAGTTAGTAGTCTCTATCAGGCTTCGGGAGGCGGCAAACTGTAGTCTCTGGCGCTAGCGGAACAACTCCCCTGGCATGGTAACTCCCTATTCGGCCAATTTCTACTCTTTCCAGCCGCCTCCCGAGGCCTGGTAGAGGCTACACAGTAAGGGGCATCTCTGAATAAAATGTACATGGCAGTAAGACACCAACACAAAAAATTCTCTCACCTAGAGCTTTCGACCAGTCACTCTGGTCTTCGTCAGTAGACTGGCGCAGTGAAACTTGTCACATGGCTTCTTTGAAGAGTGACGTCAACACTGGGTCAAAGGTATCTGGTAGACGATGTCGGCCCCCGTCGCGGTTCAATGAAGGGTGATGGGCCCTGAAAACCAAAAGTTTTAACTTTAAACATGTAACTACCAACACAGATGAACTTTTATGATATTATAGATGAATCAACTTATGCTACTAGTTCTGAGCTCTAATATACTTACATACTTATTCTGCAGGTTCGGGCCCGTGAGCCGCGACAGGACGATCGTGTCGGCGCTGGAGCAGACGCCGGAATCCATCTGCAGCCACCCGTGTGATGACGTGGCGGGGTACGTCACCGTGCCCAGTAAGGACAGCGCCTGCTGCTGGACCTGCTCGGAGTGCCGGAACAACGAGATCGTCACTGACGTCGGCATGCCGACAGAGACCTGCCAGACATGCAACGACAAGGTACAGATAAGTATATTTTTCATCTCAGGATGGTTGGTTTGCTCCTTCAGCTTGTAACAGCTAATTTCCAAGGGATATACAGGACATGTTACTTGTTTGTACAGTCAGGAGACAAAAAGTGGACAAAATTTGGTGGAAACGTAATGTCAAAGCAAAATCATTGTCTTATATATTAATTATTAGTATTGTTTTGGGAAACTCTGGTTTCCCAACATTGACAGTGGGTGGGCGGAGATTGGGTTTCAGTTGATTGACATGGTTGTGACCGGGGTTTGCCTCAGGACAGAATGTGGCAAGAGGCCATCAGGAATGTGTACTGTGAAACCTGATATTTCCCCTTCATAAAATACAGTTCCTATATAGTACATTCACAAAAACAACTTGTCTGATTTTCTCCAGGCGTCCATTGCGAACCAAAACTTCACCTGGCCTGATCCGGACGACCGGACCCGATGTCTGCCCATCCCCGCCACTCACCTGAACTGGCACGACGGCATCGCCATCCTGCTGGTTGTCCTGGCCTGCCTGGGCGTGGCCCTCACCATGGCAACGCTCGTGACGTTCACCATCAACAACGAACACAAGCTCATCAAGGTAAGATGTCAGTATTGTTTTGGGTGGCACTACTTTATGCTAGGTTTGTATGTTTGGGTTCCTGCCTGGGCGTGGCCTTCACCATGGCAACGCTGGTGACGTTCACCATCAACAACGAACACAAGCTCATCAAGGTAAGACGTCATCAATCATCACTTCGGAACGGAGAATTGTTTTGGGTGGCAATACTTAATGCTAGGTTTGTATGTTTGGATTCCGTAGTGATTGGGTGGAGATAGGGTTTCACTTGATTGACAGAGCTCTGACCCAGTATGTGGTCTGGGTTCAAGAATGTGGTTGCCAGGAATGTATGAAAAATAAAGCATGGTGTAATAGCGGAGTAAGTTTCATCATGCAAAGACAATATGCATTCTATGTAACCCATTAACACAAACTATATCTACTTCCCAGAAGTTTGTTTATCCTGAACGCAATCGACATTGAAGTATTGATTTTGCCGCTCAGCAGGGAAATCCCATAAGTAAGCAGAATTTTATGTAGGTCAGCCCGTATATTAGTGAACAATGACTGATTGTTATGGCCAATGTTAAGGTCAGAGTTCAGCTCGATGTTTATTCGCAGGCGCGAGCGAACTGACGGGAGGTCAAGGGTTATGTTCGATCTGTAGTATATGTACACATTAATTATTGATGGGTCATGGGTCATTTTCAGGGTCATAGGGGCTCCCATTCCAAAATAAGATGACGCCGCCGTTTTCTTTAACTTCCAGCTAACAGAATATACTTTTCAAACTTCAAACGTCTTAGACGTTACTTGTCAAAAATAAAACCCACCTCAAGTTTAATGTCAAACATATTTGACAGCAAGTACATGTATTTACAAATCTATTGTTTAGAGCCCGTTCACATTCGTCGTAGGACGTCCTTTAGGTCTCGGTGCAGTGAATCATTCAATTCAAGCAGACTGTGGCAGAACCAGAAACGGAGAAGGTCATGAGAGTCCTTTTCGTAAGAAAATAGCTAGCTGAATTATGCAGGACTCATGCAAAACTATCCCCAAATACCCCCAGTGTGTTGTCGTACGACGATCCGCAAAACGATTTTACGACATATGTGGACGGGCTCTTGCATAGATACTCTGTTCACGAGAAAACCACACATGCCAATACAAAGATTTCAGGCCTGCAAGAGAGAGCTTTTCCTCATCAATCATCCTGGACGTCAGCTGTCATATGGTTCAAGTCACTATTTCAACTTGTAGTGGATGCTACTTGAAACGTCAGACAGTTTTCAAAGCCTATGCAGTTGCTTAAGTAACAATGCCTTGTGTGTGTCATCACCTCCCACAGGCCTGCAACAGAGAGCTGTCCTACATCATCATCCTGGGCGTCCTGCTGGAGTTTGTGGTGGTGTTCTGTTTCGTGGCCGAGCCGACTGCCGGGACATGCACCACCACCAGGCTGCTCTTCGGGCTCAACTTCACTCTCATCTACGCACCGCTCGTCACCAAAACTAACCAGGTAAGGTTTACAATGTCATGTACGTGTAAGTACGGTAGTTACATGTAAAAGTTAAAACTTTTGTTCCAACTCATAGAATGGTTCTCACCTAGTGGTTTCGATGAGTCACTCTGGTCTTCTTCAATAGACTGACCCAGTGAGACTTGTCACGTGGCTTCTCTAAAGTGTGACAGCAACACTGCGCCAAAGATATCTGGTAGATGATTTTGGGCAACAAGGGTCTGAGGTCTGAGGCTATTATGTAAATAGACTCTTTCACCCCTCTCAGGAAGTAGTCTTGTTCGGTGTCCAATATTCTTACATATCCCGTGAAACAGAATGTCCAGGTGAATCTATGCTGTGACACTTTTGAACTCATAAAATCATAGTTAACAGTAGATAATAATAATCCACAAAATACTTTTTGGGAGTCTGAACTCTCCGATTTTCGTTTGGGACATGTTCTGGTATCTCTGTTGTCTTTCAAACTTACCTGTAATCGGATGGCATGCTTCTAACATTTTCAAGTTCAGTGGCAATGGCTAAAACTCCGCCCCCTGCTGTCAGCTGTACAGACGGACGGGGCAGACTGATGTGCCGACAGCTCGCGACAATCTGTTCAGGAATTCGATTGCCCGGAAGTCCCTTCCAATTAACCCAAAATTCCCCATCTATATTCCGGTGTATCCCCGCGGCTGACGGGTGAGTTCCCGCGTAGTCAACCATTCAGACCACCTGTCAACGGCCGGGATCGAAGCCGGGAGTACATGCGTGTCCATGTTCCCAATCTAACCATGCATGCTGCAGGGTCGTTTAACAACCAGAGCATCAGTTTTAATCAATGTTTTGCCGGCGAATTCGCGAGGAAACGTTCAGAGTCAGACGCATTTTCATTAAGTAGTTTTTTTCTGTTTTTCCCTAATCAGAGCTCTGTTCCCTTGTAATGAAGAACGTGTCTGGCATGTATCGATTCCATCCCTGACAGCGGTTGTACATCAGGCTGGCGATGCGGAAGAGAACTATTAGCGATGCAAACTTGTCTGTTTGCCTTACCGAGGGTAGCGTAGTCTTCACCAGACTCCTTTTGCAGGCTGAATAATGAATAGTAGAAATCGGCCTGATATATGAAAAGGGTATATAATTGGCAACAGAAGGTAGCCGGCAAGAGAAGCTCCATGTTGCCTTCTCTGGCCAATTATATCCCCCTTTTAGGCCGATTTCTACTATTCATTCAGCCTGCAAAAGGAGTCTGGTGGAGACTAGGGTAGCGCTCGTCAGCTTTTCTCGTTCCGGCATCCTTCATATGCATGCACCGCGAGCGGAACGAATGCCTGAAAATCGAACAGGAACTGGTGCAGAGTCGAGCCTGTGCTTTATGGAAAACGAGGCATATCCACATGCTATGAGCAAGTGGTTCTGACACGGGACTCCGTTATGGCAAATTCGATAAGCTTCATTTTGTATTTATCGACGCCCCACAGCAGGGCATTCATTCTGTACGGAAGGTTTATCATTGGGCTGCGATTTCTCGCTGACGGTGCTTCTGGTAAGGTTGCCTACGCAGCATCTCAGCATCTTTGTACTTGTCAGATTAAAGTTGTTGGTGGCAAGGTGGTATTGTGTTTGGGGTTCTTGAATTTGAATCTGAAGGTTCTAGGTTCAAATTCTCGGCAGACCCTAATATTGTGCCGTTGAGAAAGTTACTATACACCTATTCTTCATGTGATAATGGATACCTAGCGTCCTCTCTTTCTCGGATGGCACTAGAAGCCGGAGGTCCCATGTCAGGACAGCAACACAGTATTCTCCATCATGAACGTTCATCTGTGTTTGGTAGAAGTCGTTAAGAAGCAGTTTAAAACTGTGATTTTCAACACAAGGGATTGTACGTGCCCAACTTTTCGACTGTACAACTCCAGTCAATATTCTCCACCCCACTTATCCATATGTATGTACGTCAAGATTATCTCCGAAGAATTATTGGTATGGTCCATACAAAATCCCTCATCAACCATTTTGCAATTTAAAATGATTCTTGAATCCCTCTTCTTGTTAGTCCTTCGAGGATGACTGCTGAGTGTCCTCATTCACGGGGGATGTGACCTCATGTGGCCTCTAAGTCCGAACCTTGAGGCACTGGCACTCCGTTGTTCGAATCTGTCTAGAAGCCCATCAACCATGATCATAGTCAACATGGCCATTCTCCGGAACCTTTCGTCCCAGTTCTGTCAGTGGGTTTGAAAGATGCCCCGGAATCTAATTAACAAAGATTGGTATCATTATCGGACAAGTGGAAAAGCCTGGTGGTTAATTAACTTGACCACGGGGCACGCACACACATAAGTCAACATCTTATCATCAGCATCTTGTTACTCTAAAGTCAGCCAGTCGGTTGGGGCCATTTTATGAAGTTACGCCGCAGTAATATATGCATCGTAGGCCGTCGCAAGAGTTTTGATGCCGTAGAATGTTGAAGCAGCCTGTGACAGAACTAACTACCAACACGGATCTAAGACAGCCTTCTTTGTAACAAGACAGATGTATTTTGTACAACAATTGCACGACTATCCCAAGAGTGCCCTCAATTTGAAGACATCCTAAGACATTCTTCTTTGTAACAAGACAGATTAATTTGCACGACAATTGCACGACTCAATTTGAGATCGTACGACGGTCGAACACGAATATGACTGACTTCAACAATCTGACGCCATGTAACTGTAAACCTCCGGTCTCTGCACGTTCTACAGTCTTTAATGTATGCTACATGATTGGTGATTACCCCATTGAGACCTTGTTCCTTATTTTCATTACTAGTATTTATGCCCTATACATCGCACAATGTAATTAGTTCAAGGGCATGCCTCAATATCATTCGTATGTCAACCTACAATTTTACAAAAATACACGCTTAGGTCACAATGGCTAATGACGGTTGGGCATGGGTGGAGGTGTTCGAGCCATTAGTCAAAAGTTGTCATGAGAAATCTAAAATTTCCATTGTGTGTGAATCCTCTTATCTGGGCTGAAAGTCAATGAGCACAGACCATGTATAAAGATGCAGCTCTAATCATATTAAAGTCAATGACCTCCGGATGCACCATTTCTGTGTCCATCGATTCAACGCAACCGCTCCCCAAAAGTTCACAGCCCCTATGACCTCAAGTTCAATTTCCAAATGCCTTTTGCACCAGTCCAGCCGGGACCCTACTTGTCTTTGCTAAGAATCAGCGAGCCACATAATTTCATTATCTGCTCACTGACGTCCAAACTTTCAGGATATTCAAGCTCTCCAAAGTATACTACGGGAATGAACCTAGCTTTTACAGATTATGCAGTGAGCTTACGGAGCTAGGGGGTCATTTTTGTCAACTAATTGCATGGCTTATAGCTTGGTTGCCTAACGGCTTTCATGTAGTAAACGTAATTATCGTTAGCCCTGACCTTGAAGCAATTGTCTGTCAGTCAATCCAATAGTTGAATTTGAAGGACATAATTGTCATGCAGATTGAATTGGACATTACGACTTACAAAGACCCGTTATGTAACATGCGTCCCTAATTTGGGCTTGCAATGGTTATCGAACTGCCATGGACCATTGAGTTAACATTAAGCCCAGTTGTTTCAAAGCTGGCGAAGCATGTATTTTCTAGTAATGCCATTGACTCTGTTGCTTAGCATGAAAACAAGAGACCAATTGTGGTTTTTACGGCTCAAAGTACGAATCTCATTGGTAATGGACAGAACAAAACCCAACGCGCTCGTTCCTAGAGACTTATCCAATTTTCCAACTCGTATTGGTCTCCCAGTTTACAATCTCTGAAACAAACTTAACAAGAAATCGGAGACTTCAAACTTCCGGGAAGTATGCATGCAATCCTCAGCTTCCTGAATTCCTCCATGCCGAAGTTAAGTTCCTACTGACTTCGCGACCAGATTCTGAGACCTTTGATCTCAGTGTACACAACATTCTGCCTGTCAATCTTCACCAACCCACGTGCTGTCAACCTACTCTGTCCGGACAAACCCACAAATATAGATACACAAACGCACAGCTCAGCCACCCAAAACAGTACTTCCGTACCTGGAAGTGAAATATTGAAATGTTAAGCGAAATGGTAAGCTACCAATTACACTAACTGCCTTTAGAGATCTGCAGCTCCGGCGGATGAGTTAGTTCGAGTTTCTACGTAGTTTCTCAAGGTCATATTCACGGCCGGCGACCTCTAATCTGGCGAAGGTCACGGAATCCATCTGCGGAGCTATCAGAAGGACAGCCGGAAGTCAATTTGCCAGGCTTCAGCGGGTCTTCTACCCGCCGTCCGGCTGATAACACGCCCCGTTTCAGCGCTGAGCCTCCCCGGTCAGAGTACTTAACCGTCCGGAACTGCCTGTGATTCCAAACGGTCGTTACTGACGGCAACGTTACGACAGGCTGATACGGAAGTTATTACATAAGACCCAAGGGTAATTGAAGTACACAATATACTCGGACGAAATATATTACGGATGCATGTAAGATGAGAACCCTGTTGATGAAATAGATGAAACTATCGACCTTGAGGTTGGGTCTGAAATTGCGTACGTACTGTATGTGTATGAGGTCAGGTTATTTGTTCAAGAGCCATAGATCGAACGCTGCAGTAAACTGAATCACCGCCGTTACAATTCAAATATATGACTTCGTAAGCTTTAAGATTGTTTCTGCAATATACACTTATTTTCCATCCTAGATGGTTAGCCTTATATGAGTGTGTGAAAGTTTTAGTGGATGTTTTAACATTGGAACTGTACGGTATGGGTATGGAGAAATCCGAATGAATTACACAATAGATCGGTTTACCACTTATACGATTGTATTTCAGTCCCGGACGTAAAAAAGATGAAATATTTGAAAGCTGATGAAACCCCGGGAAAATCACCCGCGATGCGTATGAATGTATAAAACGGCCGAACTCGACGTGAGTGGTCGTAATACATGACTGATGGTTTGACCATTTTCCGCTCTGAATGAAGCACGTCCATCAGAACGGATAAACGCTCATCGGGGAGTCCTCCCCAGTCCCTGAAGGTCATTTTCCCGGTTTACGGCGGCGTCAGGAGGACCCCCGGCCCTGCTCCATTATGCTTCTGGCCACCTTTTAACCTCAGCCGGCTCGCAAAATGGGCCTCTTCCCCGGGTAGAGCCCGCACAGATGCCCGTAAGGCCTTTATGGCTTGCAGAGGGAGTTCTGTTTGGAGGGTATTTGCGGGTAGCTCTCCACCGGTTATCTCAGGTCAACTATGCTAATTAAATAGTTTGAAAAGAGCTCGGGGAAAGGTGTACATGTACTTTGTGAGTGCTTGGACAGGTAGAAATGAAACCTTACAGCTAAAGCTAAAGCTTGATACAACTTTTGTGGAAACATTTCATGTACATTGTTGTAGATAGTGCAGCTGTGGGTTTGTGCATGTTTGTACGGACAGAGTAAGTTGACGGCACATGGTTGGGAAAGATTGACAGGTAGAATGACAGGAGGTCAAAGATGCCAGAATATGGCCGGGAGGCAGCAGGAATTAGAGGTCGGCATGCGGGAAATTCAGGAAGCTAAGGATTATATACTTCCGGATTTGTTGCTCTAATATGCGGGACATGAGACTTCTTTAATCATTCTCATTAGTCTGACTTGTAACAGATAGAAACGTTGTGTATGGAAAGATCTAAAAGTCGTATTATAAAGACTCAAGTCTAATGTAACAGAGTAATTTTCTGTCGACCATCGTGATCCGATCTACTTTGAGACTTCCAATTACCAAAGTGGAGACACACGTGAGAGAACAAGTAGCGTCCCAGAGCGCCCCTAGCCACCAGAAAATGCACACAGAAATCCCCTAACACCAGTTCCCCTTACCCCATTACTCTTCCTGACAGTTCCGGTATGTATCTTGGACAAAGGTCCACTAAAAGGATTTACAGTGTGCTTTGAAGGATCTACTTACGGGGATTGTGGGGCCATTAGCTTATCATTGACACACTTTCCGTGTCTAATCGTTTTAACCTAATGCTGTGCTGGTTGGACGGACGGACGGACGCAAGCATTACCAGGTCGAGGAACACTTCTTGTAACACCGGCAAAACTCGACATAAATAGTGTACAACTTAACTAGCCTCCACCAGGCCTTTCTACGTACGGGAATATGGATCGTAGAATTCGACAAAAAAAGGGAAAAAATTGGCCAAGGAGTCCGGCCGCGGGGAGGTGGTTTCTTTCCCTCCTGTGCGGCCAGTCAAACCTACAAGGCGGCCAAACTCCAAGCCAGCGTAGTTAGTCTCGTAGAGACTAGTGTACAACGACCCGCAGGCACGCTGGCTTCATTCGTCTAAAAGCTTTTCACGAAAGCCGTAAACTGCTAGCTATGAGTACATCTAGTTCCCTGTGGCTGATGAAGGCAATTGTCACAAGAACGTCTATTCTCAACCAGAACGGGGGGCGGTACCAACTTCCAGCGAACTTTGACCCATTGCTGACGTCACGAGTGCATCAAGTTACGTGTCCTGAGTGACTGGGTCGGATGGGTGAAGAAGACTGAATGAGTCCCAATCTTTTGAGTTGGAGAACAGTTTAACTTTTACACAAAAGTCTATCCATTAAAAACCCCCCACTTCCGTCCGTGACACCATCAGCAAACCACACGAGCAAATGAGTTGACCTGAGGCCATTATATGAAGAGATCTCGTTAGAATGGGAAAGCCTCAGGTGTCTGACCCCCTAATGTACCGACATTAGAGTCTTGTTGGGAAAGCTTTTTGCCTTACGAAGTCAGCTCACTACGGGAGTCACAGTGTCAAAAAGTCCATCGCTTCTATCTCTCTTCCCAATCTCAGCTGATTATAGGTTCTTACCGACAAACTGTTCCAGCTTTTTGTAAGGTATAAAACTACAACCTCAGAAAACAGGAGGTATATTCTGAATGACCTTGCTTTTGTCTTGTATTGTTACGTTGGAACGATGAGGTACCTGGCTTCATGTAGCCACTGACATGTCGTTCCGATCTAAAGTTGTATCCACTTTCATATCCCTTTACCAAAGGCTAAAGATCGCTTATTGCCTCCTAACGTAACAACACCACAAGGATCTACCGCGTAAAAGCCACGAGCTCAGGGGAACCTAGGTAAAGTGCGGTGCTGTGAAAGTTGCTCCGGGCACGTATTCCCAAACGCTCTTTCAAACGGCACACAAAGTAAAACTTTATATTGCACATTCGTCGTATGTTGACGTATCATTTTAATGCATTACAACAATTTTCGATTCAAGCAGGCTGTAACAGAACCAACAGCCGACAAGGGTCTAAGACAGTCTTTTCTGTAACAAGACAGCGTAAGTTTGCAGGACACACGCACGACCAGTTTGCAATCGTGCGACGATCATACGACGTGCCCTTATTAGTGGCAAACTGTAAGGGCATGCCTCGAAGTTCACACAGAATATCGTGGTCTTCGGATTACAATCCCATAACATAACATTATCCAGACGTTTTGGAAAATATAGACATGATTATGTAAATCATTATCAATGTGCGGTGAAAGTTTACAGATCACCACATTACTTGCGTAGGCTGAAGTAAAGGGCCCCCGAGGATATAAAATAATGGGTCCCTCCATTTTCCGAATACCGAAATTATACACGAATGACGCTGGCAAAAGTGCAAGGCGTCACCGAACGGAGGCGATAATGCGGTTTAAGTGCTGTTAAAATGTTAAACTGTGTTACCTACACAATCCCTTAAGTTCAGAAATCACCCTGGCGCGTCAGAGTACTGTCATTATTACCAGACGGATGATCATTGCTGAGCGTTCCGTCAACGCTAAACGCCATTCCCTCAGGAGGACGGAAATTGTGGCTATATGTCTAAAACATCGCCAACTTTCAAACGCTTGGAGCTGCTTTAAACGCGACATAGATGCTAAGAGTAGCCAGATGTTGTTTTGTGGTACATAAAACTCTGATCCAAAAAGTACTAGTGGTAAAGAAATGTTAACATGCCAAAAGTTAGACATTGGTGTCAATTCTTATTCAGTTTGAGAATCGCTGTAAACTAGTAGAATACGCAGTAGCACACAGGTCACGCCACTATAGCACCTCAAAATCATAACTCTTCACATTTTTCAGGTGTATGTTATCTCGTATCTTATTATATCTTGTCACTATAACATTCAAAGTTATAACTCTTCACGTTGCTAGGCATATCGCATCATGTATTTTATCATATCTCGTCACTATGCATCTCAAAATTATAACTCTTCACATTTCAGGTGTACCGTATCTTCCGGAGCGGGAGAAGGTCCGTGAAGAGACCGAGATTCATCAGTAGCCAGGCACAGGTCATCATCGCCTGCGTGCTCATGGTCGTTCAGGTCAGTATATTAGGTACCACTATGATTAGGTACATAGCGTACACATGACAACAGTCACTGCAGTAATGTAGGTACCTGCTAGGATGCACATTATCGAACTTTACCTTCCTCTTCGCGACCACTACCCATCCGCTAAATATCATGCAAAACGTTCCATCCACAGCGTAGAGTAACAAGCTTTCGGTCAGTCCTCTGGTCCTCTTCAGGTAGAAATGACCCGACGCCAAGTCACGTGACCTGCATGGGGGACGTGTGACGTCAGCAACGTGGTTCAAATCCATCCTTTTTTTGCAAAAAAAAAAAAAGAACAGTTGCTCAAAATCATATGAGGTTGCTTTTAAAAGTAACTTTTTTGGTGTCTCATTACCTGGATGTCTAACCTTTACCGACTTCTTTGTTTTGTTTTGCCGCCCTGAAATTGCATTGGGCGCCTTTAACTCTGCTGATTGAACACGTTTGGCTGCAGGTTATCCTAACGTGCATGGGGTTCATTCTGGTGTCACCCACGGAGGTGACTAAGGACATGCCTGTGGAGACGGAGAAGCTGGTGGAGCTGCAGTGCGGGCAGCACGTGTACGAGCTGGTGGCCACTCTGGTGTATAACGTCCTGCTGGTCCTGGTCTGTACGTACTACGCCATCATCACCAGGAACCTGCCCGATAACTACAACGAGTCCCGCTTCATCAGCTTCCAGGTCAGTTCTTTTTTAGTTCGGGACATAAAAAGACCTGAATTTTGTACGGCAAATGCCCGACTGCCATCAGTTAGGGATCTTACGGTGATGTCAAGCCGAAGGTGTCCGTGCCCTTTCCTTAATCTCCAAGCAGATTCCTTCGTCGATCGGCAGGGCACGATCAAATTGTTCACCAGATACCATTTGCTCCCGTAGGAAATTTTTTGGGCAGGTCAGTCTTGTAGACTATCTTGCTCGCGTCTCTGGTGAGTTCTTATGTGGCTTGAAAGTCCGGCCTTGGTTTTGCAGACCCTGCTGCATACACTGCATGTGTTCTGTGTAGTTAGGGGTGCAGTAGGAAAATAGATGCTGGTCAATTCGACCGTACCTAAGTACCTTGCCCCAACGGAATCTGCTTGGAGATTATTACCAGTTCTTAACGTATCGGTTCACTCCCTCCCAGGCTAGGTATACACAAAAGCAGAGTAAGCATACGACCAATGTGAATGGGCGCCCTTACTTTAATTTTCGGTTATCGGTTCCCTCCCAGGTCTACACAACCCTGGTGATCTGGCTGGCGTTCGTCGCGACGTTCTTCACCGCCAAGTCCTCCCTTTACCGGACCGTCTACTCCTGCATGGCTATGATCCTCAACGCCTTCACAACTCTCATCTGCTACTTCTCGCCAAAAGTGAGTACATTGTAGCCTCCTGCGCAGGCTCCGGGGCGGATAGAAATTTTGATACAGCGTTTTGAATAGTTTTAACGCGTTCTTTCAATAGCCGGCTATCCTACAACCAGCCGCGAGAGTAGGTTCCATTCCGCCCGTGGGCTAAGTACATTGTACTACGTATACGGAAGACTTACAAAACGCAAAGTAAGCCTTGTGAATCTGTATTGTATTGTACGCCCATGTGCATTGTATTGGTTTAAAATCATCTTAATTGTAATGTGCATACATGATGAAAGGTTACTTGGGTAAAGCCTAGGACAGCCCTTTATCTCTTGGTATACTAAGAGAATGGCGCAAGGCAATTAAGACAAAATGTTACTATGTGCAAGGGAAATTTTGGTTTGGTGTTTCGCTTTTTTAATTTATTAAAATTATTTTTTAATTATGCAAATGTCAATATGCCTTTAATCTATCTGTGAATTTTCAACGCAATTCAGTTGTGTCTGAAGAGATTCAACAGGTCTGCAAAGTTGATTTTAACTAAAATTTGATTTGATTTGCAGCTCTACGGGGTGTACTTCGTCAACCAAAGCGACATGAACGTCCAGGGCACGTCCCTGAGAAACCCCACCATGACGACACCGGAGGCCACCACGAACCCGGAGCGCCCCGGGTCCATCACGGCCAGCGGGAACTTTTCCCCGGCGTTAGCGGTCCCCCGGCCCCGGGGTCCCAGCGTCTCTGTGTCGCTGGAGAACCACAGCAGCCAAGACGGCCAGGTGCCGAAGAGCGACGTCAACGGCACGGAAAACGACATCAAAAAAGTCGTCAACGGTACGTCCAAAATTGAAATTTTGTGGCGACAAACTTTGTGTATAAAACCTGTTGATGTCTTATGGATAAGGGCAATGCCAAAGGAGATATTTTACCGACATTGTATATAATGTATGTATGTAACATGAAAGCCCATCGCATTCTAGATAAGATAGCCCAGTCGCGCTCTTCATTGAGCACCCCCAAGAAACAAATTAAGTTCTTTTGTCCTTTAATATTGTTTCTAGCTTCTTTGATTTGATATCCACGATTTATGATTACATGTAAGTCGTACTTGTACCTGGGAACAAAAAGTACACTTTATAAACATTTTCTTTCTTCAAACTATATTCACAGGAACGATAGATCTGGACGGCATGGAGGGGACAGACGTGGACGCTACCATCATCGTGAACGGCACGTGCACCACGGACGACTCAGAAGACCCCGGCTTCGTCAAGTCACGGGTGGTCATCAAAGAAATGGAGGGGACACAAGTTTAAGGGCATATGTACTAGTGGAACAAGTTACCGAGTGGAACAAGTTACCTGCCGAAGTAGTGCAGGCGCGGTCTGTAGAGGCCTTTAGGGCCTCCCTTCCGTAAGGTCCAAGCACCTCCCCTCCTCCCTCTCAGTGATACCCCTCGTGGGTTGTTAAGAGGGTTACCCCAGACGAAGACATGTCATTGATGAAGTCCCCATTGGGGTTGTTAATATTATAACAGCCCCTCAACCCTGTCCGTGTAACCGTGTGGCCACATATCATGGCATACCTCTCATGTACGTGTAGGACAGACAGTATCTAAGGCCCTAAACTCAAATACGGCCCTAACAAAAGGACTATAGGACCTGAGCTGGTCACGATAGAGGAAGAAGACTACGGTTGGCCATGAAAGCCCAGTACTATACTATGGTGTTGTTTGGAATCTATGTCGAACTCAAAAGCAGTACATGCACATGTCATCAGACGACGAGAAGTTGTAGCCGACGTATTTATGACAATGTAAACCCAAGTGAACAGTAGCAGCTCCGTGACAACTACTGATGGTGTCAGTGAGCCTACTTGTGATGGAGGCAGTTCCTGTGTTTTACTGTCCGCCATACTCAAAACCACCCTCTGCACTGGGCCTAAACTAATGTGGATAGTACGCAACTTGGTCAAGCAAAATGTGAGTAACAATGCAAGTGTATTTTTATGTACAGAGATTTACTTGAACTGTCAAACATAGAACCTCAACGGCAGAACTAAATCCGGTGTTCTTTGTAAAAAAATCTAGTAGAAGAGGCTCTTGATTAAAAAGTATGGATCCCACAAGGAAGAGAAAAAGTTGATGTAAAGATGCAAAAGAGGTTCTTGTCCAAAGTTTTGGTGTCAAATGTCGGTATATCCCTGTCACAGTACTTGATGCTTTACTTGTAATGTATATGCTGTGAAGCAAAGTTTCTACTGAAATAAAGTAGTCAAAACCATGTAATACATAGCTTTTAAAACTATATCATTGGCATTAGCTATGTATAGTGACCAGAGTCGAAGTGACGTGACGAAGAGTCGGAAATACGTGACAAAGCGCCACGCAAAGGTGAACATAGTCCACTTACATTTAACTGTGCCATTGAAATTCTAAGTCATTTTATGGTACAATCGTCGTGAATATATTATCATTATACTGGTTGGTTTATAATGGCTAGCCTGTGATGAAACAAGTGAAAATTCTACTCTGCTATCCAATGTAAAATAGACATTTCATATGGTTTTTAATAGGCTGCAGTGATATGCAGCTAAGAATATCTTGGAAAAGCTAGTTTCAATCACCTTTTAAGGCCTTCTTTACAATGTGTATAATATCTATATTCAGTTACCTTGCCACTTTTGTACTTGGTTTCCATTAAAATGTATATTCTTATATGAAACATAAAGTATCATTTTCCAGTGTCACCCTGGTGTTAGTATCCACTGGTCCAACATGCTACATGTTTGTATATCACTGCCTTTTGTACAAAGTTATTACTATTACAAAATGTACATGTTTATCTGGAGAATAAAGACTATAACAGAGAAGTGTTATCTTGGTCTGAAAAAGCTGGAACCCTTTCTTGGCTGGCTTTTGTCTCTATGACAGTGAATGAATGTAACAATGGCTAAGAAAATGGAGATTTCAAATTTCCTATAGATTCTGAAATAGAAACCCCTCCACATTTAAGGTCTTGCCAAAAAGCTGGGCAAACTAACTGTAATAGTAAATGTTTCCACTTCTAGAGAGCACTAACCACACTATCAACTATGGTGTAGGCTCTAGAATGGGATAGCTTGAACACCAAGTGCAGCAGGGCAGGGCCCAAAGGAACAGCGTGAAATAAACGAGCTGCTTGATAGAAAGAAATGTGGCGAAACAAGATGTAACACACCCATCCAAGTGAGCGCACAAGTGTACAGGAATCTGATACACTCAGCCACAGGAGAGCTGCACTTGACAAGCCAATTTCTGTGGTAAAAGAAACCCGCGGAGCGAAAGAAGAAGCTCTCAGCTCTGATCTACGAGCTCGAGTACTCTTGTTGGCACTTCAATTGGACTGAGCCAATCTTACAGGTCCACTGCAATTTAAGATCCATAGATTTGACAGTTTCCACTGAGTTCTCAAAGTCAGAAACATTTCCCTAGAGTTAGCTTTTAATACACTGGCCTTGAGTACAAGGAATTAGTTCCACACTGTGCCTCTAAAACTCCTGGAAATTTTCCGCACACTGTAATGACCAAATCTCATGACTTCCAGCAATGGAAAGGTAATACAAATGAATGCCAGAAATCAAACCAACTGGATAGCTTTACAGTCACAGTGTGCTTCCTAATTTCCCAAGAGTTTCCAGTACCTGTAACAGCAGATATGTCAAAGTTGGAAACAAAATAAAACTGAACAATGGGGCATTATAGGATCTGTGGAGAGAGGATTATTTACAGTCTATGAGTTCTGGAAGGCTTTGGAAGGCAATATAAAAGGACAGTTATGGGGAAATCGGAAAGAGCAGTCTTATATGTAGTTATTGGTACTGCAGCATTAACTATATAACAAAAAAGCTTACTAATTTTGCTGGTGACTAAATTTCTTCTCTGAAAGCAAACTTTTTCCACTGGCAATCTTTCCTGGTGATCCTCAGAGTACGAGAGGAATTTTCTGATTGTAGAATTGACTCGTGACTAGTGAAAAAAACTACTGTGCAAGCAGCTTTATAAAGTGTGGAAAAGACAACAGAGCTATATTTGGAAGTCTTTATGCAAGCAAGAAGTAAAAACAGAACTAAACTTGACAAAATAAAGCAAACTAATCTGCAATCCACTGCAAAGCCTGCCTGTCAAATAATCACTCACATGACACAATATTGATAAGTTCTTGGTTTACTTCAAATTTTCAAATCTACACTTGCACAGTCACCTCATATGTACATGGGAAAATCTTAAAGCTAACAAAGTGATCATAGCTCTATGGTAATTTAGTAAACAGTTTTAATTAGTAATCTATTTCAGTTTTCACACTTCATTGCCAGTTATGTCTAAAGACAATCACAAAATACTTGAAATTGTATGTGCGGAAACTTTATTCCAGAGTTTTGGAATTGAAGGAAGGAATCATAGCGCCACATGTTAAAAAACTATTTTCTATACATTTTCAGCAGTTACAGTCATTTTGCATCTTATGAACAGTGATTAAAATGTCAATGATTAATTACTTTTAGGTTAAATATGAGAAAAGGCACAATGGATGTTCTTTTCAATTATCAAGGCTTTGTAACCTCTGTCTCCATAGGGGACACTTCGGCATTTCCACTTCCAGATGCTTCTGGTGGCACAGGTGGTGCAGCTGCAGGACATGTGGCTGAAATTAAAAGGACAATAGCATCTGTAACAACTGTGTTACAGCTAATTGATTCTACACAATTGACTGATCACCTGCCTTTGTATCAAACTTAACTGTATTCCAACAGAACATGGAACTATTCATTATTCAGTCTCCACATAGAAGAAGTCAAACCTTACAATAGCAAACATTACTGTAAAATGATGACCTGACAGAAGTTGTATGTTCTCTATTGCTTTACTTGATTGATATACATGTAGCATGATACAGCATTTTAACAATAGCTAATGGATTTTGCGCGATAAAACTTACCTGCAGACTGATTTGTAGCAGAGCTGGTGGTTAGGAGTGTTGTCAGGACAACTCGGCGAGGCTGAATGCCTGAAGTACTGTGGACAGGAAAAAACAACATAGTTAAGTCCCGTAAATAATTTCATCAGGTTGGAAGATACTTAGGGTATAGAATTTTCTTCTTACACAACCGAGGGGGGATACAAGCTCAGCCACGTTTGGGATTGTATTCTCGCCGCAAAAGCGCCACCTACTTTGGCGTTAAATAGCGGCGAGTTGCAGAACTCCAGTCAGAAGCTCTGAGGAAGGTGTCTGATAGACATCGAAACGTAAGCAGGTGAGAACCTTACTGGTTGTGTAAGAAGAAAATTCTATACCCTAACATAGTTAAGTGCCTTACTGCTACTTTTGATTAAAAAATAGAGCAACTTGAGCAAGCTTGTATGTCAGTGTGCTTGATTGTTTTATGTTAGTCTGACAAATGGTATAAAATATGTTGCATCTACCTGGGCTTATTGTCTGCACCAGAGCTCAGCGTGGTGAAGGCTATTCTTCTTGGTGCTGATCCCTGATTGGCTGTAGATGGAGAAGCTTGCTGATTGGCTGGAGATGGAGACACTCCCTGATTGGTCGATGTTGGTGTGGGCTGAGCTGCCTGATTGGTCAATCCAGAAGCAGGCTCTGCGGTCTGATTGGTTGGAACTGGGACTGGGTGGGTACTTGGGGCACAAGGTGGGCTGCTACTTGACTGGCTGGGTTTGCTGGAGCTGGTTAGAGTTGTGAATGCGATTCTTCTGGCCCCATTAGAACCACCTGCTGACCTTACCTGAATGGGATTGGCCTTTGGCACTGCTGCAGGCTGCCTATTGGCTGTTCCCTCCTGGTTGCCATTGACAACCACAGGCTCTGGTGACTTCTGATTGGTTGTCTCGATTTCAGGCTTTTCATTGGCTGGGGGAGTTTCCTCTATCTTCTGATTGGCCACCTTTGGCTGTTGGCTGGAGGGTGTGCCCAACTCGTCAGGGTCAAAGGTCACAAAGGTGCAGTAGCCATCTGTGGATGATATCATCAGGATGCTACCATCTTCTGACCTGCGGAGGGAGGGGGGTGATTTAAACCCTTTGGTGAAAAATAGTCATTGCAATAAAAGAAAGCCAAAATAACATTCTGGGTTAGAAGGAATAAAGCATTTACCTTTGTACCTTTGCATCTACCTGGTTATATTTTGCAGCAGAAGGGAAAAGAATGTGTTCACAGTGTTTAAAGTTTGAAGTAGAAACTGTTCTGTAGTATAGTAAAACTAAAAAACACAATCGTTTCCAGTGATTTAGTGGCAAGAGGTCACTGTAAAAAGAAAGCGCACACAGAAAAAGTTTCTACATTTCACAGTGTCTCAATACCTTTCTTTAGATTCTACAAACATGTTTTATGAGTAAAGGTGAAGTGAAGCATGATGCTTTTTCACGTTGCTACTAGTGCAATGTGGCTTCACCACAGCTCACATTTATAGCCGAGCACACCAGTTCATACTCTTTCCTAGTAAGTGTACTGGGTTCTTCAAAAACAGAAAAGCCTGCCTTAGATACTCACCAGGCGAGATCACTGAGCCTGTGGTAGTGGATGTTGGAGATGAGCGCAAACGGGACGGTCTGCTGGGTGTCGTAGAACAGCACTGAGTCCTCCGTCGCCACCGCGAACACGATACGGTATGGGAGATCGAAGACCGGTTTGGTCAACTCTCCTTCTATAGCACAAATCAGATTTATGCTAATTTAGATATCAAAGATCAAACAAGAAAGGTAACAATTGCACATCTTCACATACATGATCTAGCCTAACAAACTACAGATCTGATGATTCTCACTCATCATCAAACACACAAATATATGGTGACCAGCCCCTCCAAATTGCTAAATCCAACATCACAGGGTGTCTGTACATGTTACAGCACATACACAAACACATATGTATAGGTCATTCATTTTTCAAGAAACTTGCAATACAGTAGGCTGTTGCTAGATGGTGCTCATAACAAAGCCAAGTAAAATTCAGGGAGGAACATGTATGCACACAGAAACATGTGTATAAGAGCTACACAACAGACCTGATTCTCCATTTTTGGCTTTCCTGAGGTCAAAATACACAGGGCAGCAGCGTATGGCTACAGTGGGCTTCTGTGGGCCGGGGAGATGGGCAACTGGTCTGGAGAGAAAATACAAAGTTTTGTTTCTTGTCTTGTTTAGGTACTGCACAACACCCCTAAATTGGGGTAAAGTGTGCAGGGGAAACTAAGGCAGGCTTTGTTACTTTTGATAATAATTATACACTACAACAAGAAATGCACTCAACTAATTTCAATTTTTGATTTTTAATGATAAAAATAGCACATTCTGACAATAGCAAAGATATCCTTGCTTGGCTCAGTGCTTTTAACGTTTCCTTCAATGTAATCGGTGGGTTGCTATGACAAATGTTATGGTTTGGGTAGACCAAAAATTAAATCTGAGTCTCAAAGCGGGTTGATCAGATGGGGTGTAGAGGAAAGATGCAAACAAACAGAGCTGACTCACTTTGAGAGGGATGTCCGAGTGAAGATGTAGCTGGAGTTGACCGTCTTGTCGTCCATCTCGACACACCCCGCCGGTGTGAGCATCAGTTTTCCGTCTGGGGTGAACGTCAGGCGCCGCACAAACGAACCCATGGAGTCATCGTGGAACATACGAGACACCTTCTTGTTGGTCTAGAGTGGGGAAGAGGAATGAGGATATGTTTAAAACGTAGTAAACAGACCAGTACTACTTACAACAAAGGACTGTAACAGTAGTAAGACATAGATTTCTTGTGCTATATTGTACATGTACATATTACAAGAATTTTGATTACAGCAAGAAATCAGAGGTTTCAGATGTTCTGAAAGTATTGGAGGGTCCCTCATGCAACCCTAGACTTTCTGATTTTGGTCATGTTGACTGCTGGCTCCTGGCCAGAGTTACATTGTATTTCCTGTGTCTGTTCTTTTAACTCCCTGTTGTTCTGCTTGTCAATCTTTCCCCACCCATGTGCTGTCAACCTACTTTGCCTGGACAAGCAGACACACAAACCCACAGCTCAGCCACCCAAAACAATACTTCCATACCCTGAAGTAACAATGGCAAAACATATACACTGTCACTAACAGTAATACAGTAATGCCTGCAGTGCCCATTGTTTACAGTAGGGGGCACTGATGCACTGTACTTACTGTGCCGTCTGGCTGCGGAATGTTGGTGACAAACTTGGAGATCCGGTGGACTACTTTCTTGGTGCTGATGTTGTAAACCCGACAAATCCTACAAGAAACAACATGGTAAGCTTTTATGGTGACACAATGTTAAACAGTGTACAGTACAGTGTACATGCTAAAACCCAGAGCTTTAAATACTTATTTCAAACATCTTAGTGTGACAATGTGAACGAAAAGGGCACATTCTGCCAAGAGTTTACTTACCTGTCCGTGCTGAGAGTGGCAACAAACTGGTTACAGGGGTCCCATGCCACCCCCTGGACAAAGCTCTTGTGTTCACTGAATATGGCAAGCTTCTCACCTATGTATAAAAGAAAAATGTGAATTTATTTCATCATATCATTATGCAACAGGTAAAAAATCATGGCAACTTTTTAGCATGCAAAATGAGGAAATACAATAATATAATTATACAATTTGTCATAGTAGCCATTAAAAAGTAGGAAAGACATTTTCTTATTCTGCTCTCACAAGTTAGGTTTGGAACTTTTAAAGGTTTAATATATGAACAGGAACAATAAATTTGGGTGGCATGGAGTTTCTTCTATCTTATGTTGGATGTAGAGCATAGTGCAAGACTTGGTTGTTTGGTTTGGTGTTCCTTTGATGCCCATGATCATGGTAATGATCATTCTGGCATATACTCATTTTCACCTGAGCTAAGTGAAAGTCACGTAAAGTGCCTTTCCCAAAGGCACAAGGTTAGTGACTTGACGGGATTCGAACCCAGGACCTCTTGGTTCTGAGCCGAATGCTCTGCTTTACGCCACACAACCCTGACTTACCCCTCTCTATGTTCCACAGAATGGCACTGTTGTCCACAGAGGCAGAGGCGATACAGGTTCCATCACGGGACCACGACAGGTCATAGATGTCCTCTAGGTGACCTCTGAAGATATATTACACACACAATGAATATCTAAACAACCCACAAACATTGGCCTCACTAGGGTTTGCTCTTTACTTTCAAGAAGTGTGGTAGTTTCTATAAAATGTCAAATATGTGATTCATCCTATATGTATGAAAGATATGTGTAGCATTCAACAAAATTTTCTGCTTTAAAATTGTAGAATACTACTACAAACAACTGAAGTCATCCATACCAAGATGTTATGTTATTGTATGTTTCTTTTAAAATTCTAGGAAAATGGTAGTAGCTACATAAGTGTACAGATGTCATTGACTTCTTTGTATAGAGGCAAAGACTGTTAAAAAGAAGTTGAAGTCAGGAATAAAAAGATGAACCTGAGCATCTTGTAGCAGGTCCAGAACTCCTTATTCTCCGACTCCTCCTCATCATCCCTAAAGGGGTTACAGCCATCGTCCTGGTCCTTCTGACGCCACAGGAAGATCACTGACTCTGGGGAAGGAACGGTAAAAAGTACAGCAACACTCCTATTTGGAATAGTAAAGTTCTTTTATTTAACCATTTGTTTTACAAATTTGTCACTTCTGTTGTGAAGAAAACAAATGGTTGCAGAAAAAGTACAAGTATTTTGCGCCCTGATATAAAAAGGTTGTGGGTTCTCACAAAAGAAATCAAAAGGCACAAAGAAAGCACTGTTCATCAAACTTACCATCCCCTGCTGATGCCAAAATGTTCCCTGTATGAATACAAATTAGCAGACATTAGAAATCAAGAAATCTGATATTTCAAAGTGTCAGAAAACTTACACCGTGGTTTATGTTTCATATATTACTAAATTATTATTTCTGGCATTCACATCCTCGAGTCCAAGGTATACAAGTATAAACCCTGTCAGTCAAGTGAAATCCAATCTCTGCTCCCTCACTTCAGAACCCAAACATACAAAACTGGGTAAGAATTTCACCTTTTCAACTTTATAGAGCAAGAATTGTAGCCTTAACTGTAACTTCTCAATGTAATGGCACCATAAAGTTCCCATCCCTCTCCTTACCATAAACATGTGACAAGAGCCATAATTGCATACATGTATACAAATAACATCATTTGGGGATAAAATATCTTTGTCTTTCATTTTGCTTACAATCATAATTTACAATAAAGCAACAGGAGTGCTAGGAATCTCTGCTGTCTTATTACCAACTTGAAGGCATAACAAAAATAATGTTCAGACTATGTACAAAATGACTAATAAACTAATGAATGCACCAACCACTAAGGATCTAATTTGCTGTTCAGAAATGAACAAGAAATATTCTTGCCTTCAAGTACTGGAGTTATCAACCAAGGATTGAATTGAGGTGTTTGAAACAGATGATGATATCTATGATCAAAAGTACTTTTAGGAACACTAATAACAGTGTGTAATACTGGCCTTTGTTTCAAACTAAAAAAAAAAAGACAAAGTAATACATTTAAGTGACAGCTTCTGTTAGGTGTAAAGCAGAACCTAAGCTGGCTAAATGTTCTTGGTAATTATATAACTTAATGCACAAACTAATTAAAACACTTCACACTGTAATTCTACTACCCCTACGCACTAACATCTCCTTACATCTTGTTGCCACGGTTTCAAAACAGTTCCTGAAACATCATTAGTCCCACATATGCAAATTCTAATAATCAAAGCTCTGTTGATGCCTCAAGGACACCTGACTCCAACAACTAGTGTTCCCAATGGATCATAACAAAGCACACGTTGTGCACGTCTCACAGTGAGGCCAAAGCACATGTTGTGCATGTCTCACAGTGAGGCCTAGGGAAAAAATGTTGTGTTTCCTGTTTCAGTCCTGAAAAAATTAGGGTCCGTAGGTAGCTAGGAATCATCTTTTTTTTCTTTCTTTTTTTAGCAATCTCTTGTGATTCAATACAGTTTAACAAAGTAAAATTTGCATGAGGACACTTGTATTTGCAAAGTCAATGTTGGAAAAAGGATTGTACAATGTTTCATCACTCAGGTGTCAGATCATGGAGCAGAAGAAGGTCGACCAGCTCTAAAATTCATGTCTCTTGCAGGGGTCCACCCCCAAAAAAGGCTAGGGTCTGCAGGTTTTTCTAGGGTCGGTCGGGAAACAGGAAACACAACATTTATTTCCTAGGCCAGAGGGATCAGGCAGGATTCCTAGTTAATGATGTGTCTCGACACTGTTGATAACATGACACCCACGTTGCTAGGAGGCCAGACAAAATGCCATAACCTCATTATATGGAAATGTCACTTGCATGGCCCGGTGTGCCGGTCTGATCACGTCATGCAGGGTATTTACATGGAGCTGCTCAGGGCAATTAAGCTCTACTCCAGTAACTGTACATCTCTGGAGTTAACAAGTCTGGAATCTAATCTGTGGTTTCACAATGAGCTGTGTCTGTGGGTGGATTCTGCTGTGAGAAACATTGGATCAAAGCAAACAGGTTGCTAGGAGGCAAGGGTAAGACTTATTGTGCAAGATGAGAAGGCGTAAATATTTCTCCAAGTGATACAGTAAGTCTTGATACTGTTGCAGTGGTCTTATTTCATGGTAGGTGGGAAAGGGAGGCTTTCTCTGTGAAAAAATTCTGTCGTACTGTAGCCATTCAACTTTATTACAAGGGATAGTCGTGTTGTCATGAACATACAACATGTAACAAAATAAAACCACCACAAAAGTTTCACAGTTTACGACAGGCTCCAGCCAGCTTTAAATGTTTTCCTGTAACCCTAGGTTAATGATCATATCTAGGCGGAGAGTGCCCAAAGCGCTTGCAATCTAGAGGGGTCTGGGGGCATGCTCCTCTGGAAAATTGTAGATTTTGAAGCTTTCAAAAGCGTAATTTCCAGCATTCTGAGAGGCAAATTTCATTGTGAGATTGGTTACCAGTGTCAAGGTTGACATATTGGTTTAAAAATTTTCCGTCACATGCCACAAAGCTCCATCAACTGACAAAAAACAGGCGCTGGTTAGAACCCTTTTTTTACAGTAGTGTAGTGCAGAGGTTACTGACCTGTAGGACAGAAGCGGACCACATTGACTGGCCGGGAGTGCCTGATCAGGTTAGCCAGGAACTCCACATAACCTCGCCCCTCCTCATCTCTCTTCACCTCCCACAGCTGAGAGGGACAACAAAGTTTCCAATGGTTAAATAACATGTAAGACTCAAATCTAAAGTACCTGTCAACAAATAAACAACCTGTTAATTGGCTAGACTGTTGTATAAAGGAATAAATGGTAGAAGATAAGGTAGTACCATAGCCTTTTTGAGGCCAAAGGAACAGTCACTGTGTGTTGTTAGTCCACTATTTCTACAGTGCAGTATTGGAAGTCAGAGCCCATCCCTCTCTTTGAACCTACCCAACCATACTCAGGTACCCATTTTACACATGGGTTGAGTGACGGAAGTTGTGTGAGGTGCCTTTCCCAAGGACACAATGGAATGCCTCTCAATCTTGTGTGCACTAGCCTAGCCAGTCTGCCATTTGAGTCAAATAGCTTGAAACAAATATACAACCCTCTCAGAGGGAAGACAGCTGTTCCTGGAATAGTATGTGGCAATCTTATATTGATTCCTAAATCAAGAACACTGTTAAGTCAGGAAGAAGTTACGTCTACTGAATGGAAGATGATATACAACAACACAGGAATCAGCACCAAGGACAGTACATACTGAGAATAATTTCACTCGTATGCTGGCTTCTCTTGGGACAAACCTGTCTTATTAATGGGACTTCTAAAGAGCTAACATTTGTATGTTAAGTTTTAATGCTGACCTCTACATTTGAGTAAAAGCACACTCGTGGTAAAAGTGCCCTCAAACAGAATTCAGCATATCATCAATACAACAGAGCTAGTGACTTTGGTCCTACAAGTAACATATAATATAGCTACTGGCTGCAATGCATGCATAAAGACGTATACCAGGTCAAAACAGCTTAGCAAGGCCAACATCTGGATGTAAAAGACATCTGTATGCTAATGAGATCTGAGCCTTGCCTTAAGCCCTTAGGAGGAAACCTGTCGTGCATAGAAACTTCAGAAATCTGTTGAGTTATACTTATAGACAGTAATGTGGGGGTATGACTGTAGAAGCTCAAAATTCTGTTTTCTGCATACCTACACTGGTGCAGGTAACATTGAAAATTAGTTTTTCACTCAGAATTTAGAAAACATGGATCAAATGTAAAAACTGTTCAGAAACCATTGCCATTATTTCTTTTTGTACTTCAGGTGGAGGTACTAATAGGGTACTCAGGTTAGGTGCAGGTAAACATCAGAAATACCTGCACATTTCCAACTGTATCCACTCTAACCTGCATATGCAGGAGGTATTTCGAGCCCTGCACAGGGATACTGAACATTTTTTATTACAAAACTACAGCTGCAGTAATGGTAAGTCTATTAATATAAAAACATCTGGAGCCTGGTGATAATATTTGAACTTACTGTGACTAGCCAGCCTTTATTCAGGAATAATGCAAGCTATAAAGAATATCACTCAAGAAATAAAAATGACCTCATAACATCCAAATAACAGCTTGACCCTTTTGCCCTCCAGGATACATGAAATGTTGGCGATGTTTGGGTAAATCCAGTTATCAGGATTTTGCTGGGCCATTACCAACCCTTGCATACATCACGAGCTCTCCTGGACTTAGGGCAAAAAGGGAAACAAATTAAATCAGTGCTGTGACAATAAGAGGATTATCAAAATGGGTACACATGGTCATGCGCTTGTGGGTTTACACTGTATTACTCCGTGAAGAAGGTCATTGACCTCTGCAGAGTATTGAGATTGGTCGTGTTCATACGTTTGCAACTATAACTCAAAATCCCTTTGCTGCATTGGTACGTAGTTTGGCATGTTGTATGCTAGTACAGTTGTATGTGTGATGAGATGATGCACACTGTTTTTGTATACCATAGTAGTTGTCATAGGACATAGATAATTTTAGAAAACACCCCTATTTTGATGGACTTGTGGAACGGGCCATTGATTTCATCAGACTTTCTGGGTGTGCAGTGATAGGAGTTTTCTAAGCAGATATTGGGCGATTTGTGCAATTTGTTATGTCAGGGTAGTAGCCCATTTGCCAAATTGGCGGAAGCACAAAGTTTAAACAGACATTAGTTTTTTTCAGAAAGTGGGGCAAGTCGTGCAATGACCTTTATGATAGCTATTTGGACTAGCCCTGGGCACTAAGAGAAAGCAGCTTTCACAGATAAGACTGGAATTCATTAGGCTCTTCCTTTCCTAAAGGATAATATATATGCCTGACCTAAATACTGTGGTTTAGTCAATGTCTGATAATCTAACGTTACAAACAGAAACTACTGAATGCCTCAGGAGATTGGACTCATCAAAGTCAAGTAACTTTGTTGTTAACATAAAAAAAATTGATAAGTAAATATATTGTTTTGTACTAGTTTTATTTCTTAGTAAGAAGGAAAAGGATTTTTGCAGTATTTGGAGTTCATGGCTGAAACAATTTCCTTCTGGAAACTTTAACCTATCACAGTTAGTGTCCAGAACTCCAGATGAAATAACTACTGAAACACAAGCAAGCAGACACAATGAAAGCAAAAACTCCAAATACAATAAAAAGATGACACCAGAGCTATATAAGTACATGTAGAATTACACAGCATCAAGCCTCAATGAGCACATGTATGTTTGAATGTATTGATGCCATCCACATATGGCAAAACACATTGGAAGGCACTTCAGTACCAGATGTTAGATGAAAGACATTGCTGCCGCACAAAATCCTTCAGACAGAGGCAAACAGCAAAGTCACCATATGGTACAGACAGGTGACCTTTTCAATAGAAACTTCCATATATAAATAGCCAGGGAGCCATCCTCAGTAGTTACTATTGGCTTTTCCTCTTTAATGTGGTATAGAGGATGGCACACAGGCTGACATATAAAGCTGTAGTCATATGACTCTAAAGCTTGCAATTACCTTTTAACATCACAAGCTACATCAAACAAAACCTTCTGATGCAAAAGATGAGAAGAGACAGCCTTTGTAAAGTTTTTAGATGTAAATCCTAAATATAGCGATGAATACAAAACTTAATAGTCAGGGACAGTGACATTAAAAAAGGATAGAATTATATCTAATATGCAGATAAAAAACAAATACATACAATTTGGTCAGCTATAAGATTATTTTATAGGTTCACCATTACAAAACACATATGGTCTGGCCGAAATCAGAAATGAAATACGTTATATTAGTATTTCTAAGCCCTGCATACAGTTCTGGTGCCTCCTTGACCTCTTTCTCATTAAGCTTGGTCACGCACATTTAACCATATCTGCAGCTTTTATCATATACTGTCCGTAATGTAGTCTGCCAATAAAGCACTACCAGATTCAATATCTCCACCCACAAGGGCAGAACATTAACTGTCCTGGAGCTGACATGTACCCAGCCACTATTGGTGCACTCAGCTGTTACTGAGTGAAATGGCAATAGTTTTTGACAAAACTGGGACAGGGTTGGACTTGAGGAATGGTAGAGAGGTTTGCTGGATAATCATAAGGCTTTTGGGGGATTAGGATTAGGGCCATTTAGGCAGGCTGGATTAGGGTGTATGTTTGGCCTCTTGGCTAATTGATTCTGCTGTACAGGCCTTGAAATATTTTTTTCTGTTACCTGCCATAGAATAAGCTGTCAGAATTTTTTCTTTTTTTGGGGGGGGGGCGAGTTGGTAAAACTAACCACAAGCAGCTGTTGAATAGCCCTACAACCTTCTCACCCTAACCAAGAGTCTTTTAACATTCACCCAACAGGTTACATGTATCAGCCAGTTTGACAACCTGTATGTTTGAGAGACCTGACCTCTAGAGTAGAGCAAAGAGTAGTAGGCCCAATAAACATTTTACATTATTATGAATGATTCAAACACAGGTGCTAGTATACATGTACTACATGTACATGCCTTACACTTGGAGACTTGTCCTATCTTACAAATGTGAAAGCGACCACTTTGGCATCTTATGGTACAATGTCCTTGGGTATGCTCAAAAAAATTTTTCTGTATATTACAATGTATGAGTATTAAACTTTTTTCATCCAATTTGATGACTCTCTACAAGAAGCCATGACTTAGCTCTTACAGTACATGAGACATTATGACAGTAGACAGATGGATTAGACGTAACTGGGACAATCGGGGAATTGTGCTAGATCAAGGGAAATTCGTGGTCGTAAGTGTCAAGTACTATGAAGAGAGCAATAATTCATTTCATGGCTTTCACTTTGTGGATAACCAGTCGGTTGTTTCAATCGATCTTTACGCTGCGATTGCAGAATAATGTGGAATAATTTACTGCTAAGTGTTGGTTGAGGCATGTTCACATTCATCATACAGTGTAGGTCATTGTACAATTTTGATGCTGTAGAGTTTTCAAGCAGGCTGTGACAAAACCAAACAGCAACAACGATCTAAAACAGACTATAAACAAGGCAGCTGAATTTTGCAGGACACATGAATGAATTTCCCCAAAACGCCTTCAGTTTGTGATCCTACAACGATCGTACGCAAATGTGAACGGTCCTTTAGGTCATATTATATACTTGAGCAGGTAATACTATTACTAATAGTTTAAGAAATGAAAGAAAATGAATGACTTGAGAAAACTAGGACAATAGTCCATAAAGACAAATGGTATATGTTAAAGGCCATTAGGCCAAGGTAAGCAATTTCATGGCTAGGTCTTTCCAAATCCCAGCCCACTGTACGTACTAATCTAGATGTCATGACACTTGCTATATATCACAACAGGACGTGTACGTACGTAGCATCAACACAATTGCTGGCCATTCACTTGGCACAGCATTTTTAACCACCTCCAGTCATAAGCTAATCTTCAAGCAGATCCTAGGGTGGCAAAAGACAGTATCAAATTGACCAGGCAATATTCACATGCCACCCAAGTTATGGATCCTCTCTGGCCAATGGATACTGCCTGGCCAATTCTATACTGTAATTTGCCCCCCTAGAATCTGTATCTGTATCTGTATAGCCGGTATAACCGCCTTTCGGCGTACCACACCAGCTTCGCAGGCACGTGGCGCGGCGGCAGCTGGCTATATTACACCGA